TTCCGGTCGCGCTCCGAGATCTTTGCCAGGAGCTGCCGGACTTTCCTCTTCGCCTCAAAGAAATACTCTGTGCGACAAACAAGTGTTGCTGGGATGGAGTAGGCCGTCGAGTAGCGCAAAATGTGCATCGACAGTTGCCTCATGTTGTCTGGCTGGAAACCGCATACGCGGACCCGAGGGACTGGCCATCTAACGGTGCATGATGTGCCAAAGACAACCAGCTATTGCGCAAGCAGATCCCAGCATTGAACACTCATCTTCGTCCAGCTGGGCCTTGTCACATTTCTCACGCTCTGCAGCTAGTTGCGCCTGGCGTGGTGAACGCCCAAGAATGCTGCAGTCTGACTGCTGCACCATCACAGTCCGACACTGCAAGTACGCCCGACTTGGTCGAAACGCGTTTCTGTAGATACAGCACTATTCTAACATATATGTTGTTTCTATAGGCATGCGAGCAAGTCCAAGCGGTAGGGAAGCTTTTCCTGAGCAATAGCACGTTTCGTTGTTCCCGAAGTCGAAGACGTTCAAACCGAAACTTTTTTTTGTCGGGGCTTGTGTTTTCACCCCTGGAAGTGCCGAACTCTGCAGTCACTACACATCTGAGCACTTCCAGTCGTGTCTCGCCTCACGCTCCTTGAGTCGGAGCTCCAGCTGCAAGATGCGGCGCTCGGGGTCATCCATGTGCCATGAGGTTGAGGTTTTATGGAGTCCAGGGATGTTTAGGGTTTAGGGTTCGGGGATGAGAGCTTGGGGATTTTATAGGGTCCGGGGTCAGGGTTTACGAGCTTAGGCTGAGGCCAAGACCTGTCTGAAGACAGGCTCCTTGGTTCTGCAAATCTGTTCTAAATCATACTGCGATATCATTGGTCTATGTCTATGTTCTCCAGAGGCTCAGCTGTCGCCTTCGTTACCCCTCCAACATTCGGGAAGATGCGTTACTGTACAGGTGACTGGGCTCTCTGGAGCCTTAATGGTAATGCTGCAATGCTCAAGCCAGCCAGCTGCGGAGGTCTAGCATCGGCAACAGCGATGTTGGGTCAAGCTTCGGGTCACACCCACCGCCGACCTTCTGACAGGTCGCACCGAAAGCCCAACGGCTGACCACCGGCTAATTAAGCACCCAACCTGGCCCTCAATCGGTCCGGATAGACTGTGCTTACTGTGATCCCGGGAAGCCTCTGCATGCGGAATCAACATTCTGGAAATTGAGTCCATATGGGAAGCCCAAACAATATAAGTCGAAAATTCTAGACTTCAGCTCCCTGCAATCCGCAAGCTGGCGCGGCGTGCGTGTGACATTCCAGTTGACGGGGGACGGTAAGCCAGAAAGGGGTATCAATGTTTCTGGGTAACTTTGGCCGAATAGAAGTACGCAGGCGCCCAAACCCTGGTGGTGGCGGTGGTGGTGGTGGTGGTGGGGTGGCGGTGATAGCAGCCGAGGCAATATAGCAGTGCGTTGATTCTGTCATGTTCGTGGCTGTGGGGTTGGGACTGATGTTGCTACGGCTACAGCTACATGTCAGCACTCGTCGCAGCACCAATAGTAGCTTGCTGCATGTCGATGATGCTAAACATGCTGGCTCTAGCGAGCCTTGGCGTGTTCTCCACCTACTGACAAGCACTTTGTTCCTTCGCGATCAAGCATAGCCGAGTGGCCGGGGGCTTCTTGCAGCACATCGCGCATCGCCACCGACGACGATCCCCACAGCTTGCTACTCTCCTCCTCGCGGGACGCTGCACACCCCTCCTTTCGGAACATGCACGAAACATTGATATCTGCGAGCATTCAAAAGCTACCGTTGCCAATGATATGTTGAATCACATCTCGTGATGGCATGCAAGGCCAGCTGTCCAAATAGAACGCCATGGCGTAGACTTTGAGTTTTCCTCGTCTCGAACACGTGTGTCTCGCAGTCCACTTCGTGTGCAGCATCTGACATAAAAAACAATCTCCAGCAGTTAAACGACATGCTGACCATGTGAACGAAACTAAGTGAAGTTATCAAGCTTCCCCACCTTTGACTGAAGTGCCTTGCTATTCGAGTTACAACCGAAGTGAAGAGCCAAGCAGCTAAGTATTTCTCATGTCAAAGCCTTAAGCAACTATCCACCGAACTCGTCGACTGGCTCGCCAATCCTAGCTACTCGAGAAAAACCGCACCAAAGCTATGCAAAGCTAAGCCGTTTCATAGGTCAAGGCATTACTGCGCCAACAACTCCGCACCCCGCAAATACTCTTTGACCGTTTTAGCGAAACAAAAACATGACAAGTATGATGGACATCGCAGAAACGAGACGAGCAACACATCAACAAACCAAAACAACAACAACGAGAACAAGTTCACATACAAGAGCATGAGCAACACCAACGATAGCGACACCAATAGCAAGAGCATCAGAAACAATGGCCAACAGCAACACCAGCAGCAGCAACAGCAACAACACGACGAAGAACGGCAGTAGCAACAACAACCAACCGCATAAACACCATAGGAAAGACAACCAGTAATTTAAAACAATGACTCAACAATCACAGCACCGCAGCACCAAACCCGATGCTAACCGCAAGCACATTCAACACACCACCGGCATCATCACCACCAGTAGCACCAGCACCACTACTACCACCAGCCACAGCAGCACAAAACAACCAAACGAACAGCAGGAAGACGACAGCAAGAACCGCCCGTCCAAACAAGTTGTACTCTTGCATGGAAGCAGCCGAACTTGCGCCGGACTCCTTTGTCGATGTGGCTCAAGGTTTCTCAAGTTGTACTCATGGATCTGCGTGTGCATACTCATGCGTATGTGTGTATATGCATGCAGCATGCACGCAGAAGCGCAGGGAGGGAGGGAGCGAGGGAGGGAGTAGAGGGCTAGTCCTTTGATTCGAGCTTGTCACGAAAACGAACACATGGAGTGAACCTGGGCATAGTACTGCGGTTGATGGACAAAATCCTGCATTACCCACTATAAGGAATATACCATAATTCCCATAGTTTAGGGTCCTTAAGGTCATGCAGGATTTTGTCCATCAACCGTACGTCATACTACTGTCAGCTGACACCTATACAGACCTGCCCCCGATCCTGCCTGGCACGAGGACATCCCTTCAGGAAGTCTGGGCAGGAATCGGAAAGAGAGCCCCAGCAACCGGCAGGGATAAACACCTTCATAAAACCGAGCGAGGGATGCGTGGATGTACGCAAGCATGTAAATGTATGTATGCTTTGAAGCTATACGCATGTATGTATGTATGTATGTATGTATGTATGTATGTACGGCCCTGATGTATGTATGTATGTATGTATGTATGTATGTATGTATGTATGTATGTACTTATGTATGCATGTCTGTAGGTAGGTCTGCATATATGTATGAAGAAACATTGAGATACAGTGGGAGTCGAAGGAAAGCCGCGCGTGTAACTTGCTCGTCGTGGCCATGACTTCACAAATCCTGCGAAGTTCACGGTGCTTTGTGCTGAAGCTTAGGCCCGCACCGCTCGCCACCCACTTCTGCGACTTCTTCATGTGGGCGGGAAAAGAAACACCTGTGACGTCTGCTTGGGGCCCCGGAAGGTGCCCTTCAGGGTTTAGGGTTTAGGGTTTAGATACTGTCATTTGACGGCCTGAGAGCAAGCGCTTCCTTGCCAGCACTTCCTATGTAACTTGCCGGGAGCCAAAGCAGGATAGCAAGGTTTGCAACAGTGCAAACAAGCACGAGTTGTTAGTCAGAGCCATGCCTGCCGCGTGGTTCCAGCACCCAGAACTCAATGTAAGACACTCAAGTTCACCCTCAACGTCAAGCCTGATCCCCATTGCTCGCTTCTTGAGAAGTCTCTCTGTCAGTCGGATCTGGCCTGTGCTGGCCTCACGTATGCTGTCATCACTGAGCACCGCGAGGACACGGAATGCGGAAGTCGTCAGGAAGTACACCTTTGAGAGGAGGCACGATGGCACGGCCGTTGATCCCACATTGTACTGCCAAGACTTCGAGGGGCACCGTTTTCGTGACGGGCATACGAAGATTGAAGATACCGGCATGTCCAAACACTACTGATCACTACTGCACCCTGTGGACTCATGCTTGAAAGCACGTACATGCTGCCAACCCCAGTGACCATCGTTGCGCTACACGGGCCACTACATCTTCCAATGTCCGTGCCATAGTAGTGACAGCCGTGCTGGCAAGGGCACTCTGGCAAATGCAAGCTCTGGAAGCAGCAAAAGTTTTCCCGAGGTGGAGTTCAGGAACCTTACAATTAGTTACGTGTACAATTGTACGAGTCAGATCTAAATTCTAAATATCAGGATCTTGCACCACACTCAGAGCCGTCAAGCTACACAACCTCCAGCCTCGAACTGTGACGACAACCCTGTAAGCACTGAGAACCGTGAAGATGCCCCCACTTCCCTCCATGCTCAGAAGGGCGAACAAGTACGTAGGGTTTAGGGTTTCGGGTTTAGGGTTTTACAGAGACGCAAGCAAGGAATTCGTCGCTTGCTGATTCTGCTGAACCGTACCGTGCTGAACGCCTGCATCAAACTAGCACGACAGCATGGCAAACGATTGGTGCGTATAGTCACTTTCCTCAGTAGAGGGGTATCTGGGTGCTTATATTCTACAACAGGCACCCCATGCATTGCTCGTCACATCCCACCGATCTGAACGGTTCCAAGAGTGGCGAGAAACCGAGCCCATCCAGGCAGCAGCAACGGCCAAAGCCCAAAAGCTTCGTCCGGTTCGGCGGGGACTCATTGTGAGACCGGCTGCCGCACTAAAACAGCAGAGTTCAAGAATGGTGTGGGCCGTTCGAGCTGAAAAACTGCAGCGTACATCGTGGGTGGTCCGTAGCAACAGCAACAATCCCGATTTTGGGACGGTAGACTCAGGAACAGAGTGTCATACTGTTTGTAGGCGGCAACATAAGACGGCGCAAACTGCGAGGCTCAAGGAGCAGGACGCATGCCACCCACAGAGCATCCTTGTGCAAAGGCCTTCTGCCGCCAGTTCCTGCAACAACTGCTCCTCCAAAGTGCGAGCATTTGCGCCAGAATGCCGTGACCAAGACTTCCAACCGGCCGGTGAAAGATCACAGTAGACGTTGCGCTAGTAGCTGATTCACAAACATACACTTTCCCGGCTGGATTTTCGTTACCATCCGATGCGTCTTTGAGGTTGACAGAGATGCTTATGGCTTATCTGTGGGTTGTTCAAGCTTTGCAAAAGAGGGAACCCGCACAGGTGGGAATCCTATCTGTAGGCTGAGCAGCTGTCGAACCATGTTCAGATCTTTATGCCCTTCATGAGGCCAATGAGCCGAACAACTAATTCAAAGTAGCTCCACTCAGAAGGCTCCCAAACACCTGCCCCCCTCCTTGCTTCTCGAGGCTACACCAAGTCACGAGGAAAAGCAGAAGAGGATCTTTGTTTGGCCTCTGAAATCGGTTTTTGAATCTGCAGCGTGCACACCAGGCATTGTATCTTGGACACTGGGGTCGCCGTAAAACTTTACAGATGCTTCCGGGGCCGCATTCTGAACCTGTAAAGATCGAGAATAGATGGCATGTCATCGACTGGTTGGGTGGTTTGATTATTGTAAACATCTCGTATATCCGTGGGCAATTTGAAGGCATCCCAATTGACCGAAATTCCCACCTAAACCCTAAACCCTAAACCCTAAACCCTAAACCGTGAAGGTGTCCAGCAAGCCCGCGGGCGCTCCTCAAGGGGCCCCAGGTCGTGCTGCTGGCCTCGGTGGTCGCTTTGCTCAAGGGTTGAACCCGCTCTCCGTTTGTCCTTCACGGGGCAGAGGGTATCTGAATGCAGAGCTCTTGCTGCTGCTTTTGCTGTTTTGTTTATGGTTGTGTGCTCTCTGCTCCACATGGCCATTTGCTGATACCCTTTCCCTTCCTTACGCATGCCCAGAGGCACATGCTTACACAGTCGTCTACAAAGATAGATTAGCAACAATCTGCTCCTGATCCTTGGTACCCGCGTCCACCTTTCCTCCTCTGTCACGCTCTCCCTCTCTGTCTCTTTCTCTCGTGCTCGTGACTTTTCATGATTTACATTGACATCGGTTTGCCATGCGCTGAAGAAGCCAAGAAAACCTGCTCCGGAACCTTCATTTATAGGGCGGGACTGCTGCGCTTCAAGCCCAGCACGAAACGGAGGCTGAGTTGCTGGCAAACCATGAGGAGAGTGCTGTGACCTGTCCGACACTTTGTGCAGCCAGCAGTCTGACGCACAGTGGCACAGGGGGCATGCCCGGCAGTCTGCGAGGCCATGAATGACGTCACGAAGAGGAGATCGACCCCACAGCAGCTAGACACCCCTAAGCAGCTTTGAAGAAACAAAGTTTGCCCAGCCCAGGCCAAAACACAAGGGAGGCGGGTGTGACAAACGAAAGTCCCCTCGGTGCGCGTAATCTAGAGAGATAAAACAGGTACACAACACATACATAACTTCAGGCCGGGAAGCAAAACACAAGATGCAATGGAAAGCCCTTGGGAGCAATCTTGGTTCCCCAGGTCCGGAAACCTACAAAAATAGATGTTCATTTCCATGGTCAGCCCTGAAGCCTGGAAGATTGCCCCCCAGGACTTTCTGAGGCATTTTGGTTCGTGGTTCCCAGGTCCGGAGAGGTACAAAAAACATCTAGTTTGTTCCAGGCCTTTTCGGAACCCAAAGCATTGCCAAAGCATCCAAGATTGGTCCCAGGCCTTTCTGGGGCAGTGGTGTTCGTGGTTCCGGGCCGGAAATTGGCTGTACAATCCAAGAACGCTGTAGACTTTTGCAATCGTGCAATGTAGGGGCCTTAATAATTAGAAAAGGGTTTTGGGGGTTCCTTATTATAGTTATACTTTGAAGGCCCCCCAAACCCTTTTCGAATTATTAAGGCCCCTATACTATGTGGACATCCCAAACTGCACAACCCACGCCCCCACATTGACCGCTCCTGAAACACAAAGGTCATCGCACAACATGCCAGCGGTGCAGGCTGAATCAAGCAGAAGCGATGCAGAGCGCATGTCGTCCTTGCACAGAGTGAAGCAGGCCGCCCACGATAACATGAAAGCATCAGTACATGTGCATGCTTAGAAAGTTATACATATATATATATATACATATATATATATATATATGTATGTATATATATATATATATATACATATGTGTATATATATATAATATCATAACATCTCACATATGTATAGAGTGGGATCCGTCCTGCAGGACCAAGGCCTTGGACCAAGCATCTGCCCTTGCAGCTGCCAGGAGCACTGCACCTGGACTCAGGAGGCTCGACGCTCAGGGGCTTTGAGGTTTTAGGGTTTATAGGGTTTAGGGGTTTAGGGGTTTAGGGGTTTAGGGCTCAGAGCCGGTTTCACCTATAGTCTCCATTGTAGTTCCTTGTTGGGGGATACCTTATAAAATCCTTAATATATTTGGTTAAGCCAGAAAAAGGAACTACAATGGAGACTTTAGGTAGGGGGCTTTGAGGTTGGGACTCGGTGCTTAGGCATCACGTTTTGGGGTTTGGGGCTGGGAGGCACGTCTGGGGCCTGAGTTGCTTCGTTTTTTGGACCTAGACTGCTGGAAGGCGCTGGTCGTTCTTCGGGAATGTAGAGCTCCTTTGGGCAATTGCCAAGAACTGGGCTCACAAGGGTTTCTTGGTGCATTTGCTATCTTAAACTGAAGGCCATAAGCACTCAAAGGCTGGGACATAAACTAAGCACCTCAGACCGGAAACCCTAAGTGCATCCCAAAAATGAACCCCACACTCCAACTGCTGTGCCGTAAGCCCTATTTTCTTTGCTCTAAAGGCTGAGCCCTGCACACAAGCAGCCCGTTCAAAAGCATGTAAGGGCTTTCTAGGGGATCAGGTTGCCTTCAAGATGACTCTGTGCCTCATTGCGGAAAGTGCTCCGGGGCTTCGGGCATTTCCACGGTTTTCAGCATCTGAAGCCGTGATATGAATGCTCTCCTAGGTCCCCAGGCTCCTTTCGGAGGAAGGAGCTTTGATGAAGCATGGATCCCCAAACAGTGAATACCTATAGTCTCCATTGTAGTTCCTTTTGGGGGATACCTTCTAATATCGTTAATATATATTTGGCTAAAACCAAAAAAGGAACTACAACGGAGGCCATGGGTAGAGTCTATTTTGAATAGAGCAACACGAGTGACCATGACGACCAAGACGACCAGAAGACCACCAGGAGACCACGAGGAGATCACCCACCGACCGATGCGCGCCGTGCGCCAGCGCTATCCATTTCCCACCGAGGGTTTAGGGTTTAGGGTTTTGGGTTCAAACCCCACAGTGTGTACCGCCCTGTTTGGGGAAGGAGTCAACTATCGCTCAAAGCCCTGAGCGCCGAAACTGAGCAGGCGAACAGATTGGCATAGTTCGCTGCAGTGAACTAAATTGCACTATACAGTACCTGTTTCTCGTCGGTGAGATGTTCCTGCTGAAAAGAATGGGTCCAGCGTTGTGGATGAGGCCGGAACGGTAGCTGAGCTGCTCGGACCTTGTAAGGCCAACGAGGCAGCTTGAGTCTTGGCTCCCTACCCGCCAGAGCTTAGGTGCTTAGATGTGTCAATTACACGAGACAGCTTTTCAATCGAACTAGTATCCAGGATCAAAGTGAGCACCGGAACCCTGGTTTAGAAAAGTCTGTGAAACCCCAAGAACAAGCTATCGTCGTCAAAAGTCGTAAGGACAGAGAGGCCCATGTTAAGCAGCACCATTATGCGACTGCTAGCAGGTTGGTATGCTATGAAAACATGATATGAAGCAGAAAAAATCCTGATGATGCTGAAGGCCATCACTACCATCAGCATCAGACCCGTCGTCACCATCGCAGTAAGCATTACCATCACAATGAACAACTGACACCAAACTCGCCATTATGATCGGTGTGGAAGTTCATTTGCCGAACAGGCTCCTTCAATTGCGATTCGTCATGAAGCGCAATCACAACTTGTGGGTGACTGCGACGGTAAAGCATCAAAGATAGACCTGGTGGCTTGCGGGTTCATGGTTATGTTCGGCACGTGCTGGTTTTCATGGTCAAGTTTTCCTGTCCACCACCAGCACCACCACCACCAGCAACAACAACAGCAGCAGCAGGAGCAGCAACGACAACAACACCTCCATCCATCAACATTTATTGCTCGTCATCACTATCACCATTGCTCTGATGTTGCTCTTCGTTAAAAATCAAGTCAAAACTAAGGCGATCGAGATCAGGCAGTTGACCGACTGACGAATATTTGGGGTCAGTCGAGTGGCTCGACCTTCAGCTCTGGCATCCTCTGTAGCATGGCCACAGCGTGCTGCCAGTTCAAGCCTGCTGTTAGGTCCTACATGGTTGAGGGCACAAGCCGCTCTGTCACATTTCAGGGTTGTTGAAGTTCCGGACTTTCGACATGTGCTTTCGGATCATCGGGAGCGGCTGTCCGTCGACTATGTTGTGCCAGTCCGCAGCAAGAATCGATCCCTGCGTGTCTCTGACAGTCTGGATGCGTGCCTTACACTGAAGCTTTAGGAACTTTTGGGTGAAAGGGAGTTGCACAGTTTCGGGTGCTTCAGGGTCTCGGTTTTAGCTTAGCTTGCTCCAGGACAGGGGAAAGGGAAAGGGTCGCTACTATAAATAGGACAGCACCATCTTTCCAGTAGTTGCAATACTGCTAGTCTATTCTCGTTGCTGTACTCCAGTTCCGTAAGCTACATCAAGATGCTCAGCATCTCATGATGAGCCATAGCCGTAGTACTGAGATGTGTTGCCGCCTATCGAAAACATGCCGGGCCTGTCGCACATGCGCCGATCAAGGTGTTGCCTGGAGGATCCAAAAGACAGATATGGGAAGAGCAGCCGGGTACAATGCAGACCCCCCCTATCATCACAGGACACAGGCCATGGATGAACTCCTTTTTTGAATATATCGATTAACGCTGCAGAAACTGCAAGCACGGCACCCGCGGCACTTTCGAATGCCAATTGAAAACCCGCAAAACATGCAGTGCAACCTTCCCCACTTATCGAAGAAGCAACGAGGCCACCAGATCACGTTTTTGCAAGTGTTGACTAGTGTTTTGGTGCCAACCTGCGGCCTGGAGTCAGATCTATGACGCGATAACTCCGCTTCTCTGACTGGCGCAGTGCTCAAGTTCACCACAAAGCACAAAGTGACGACTGCACTAAGCGTTAGCAGCAGTAGCTGTAGTAGTTGCCGTCGTCGTAGTAGTAGCAGTAGGAGGAGCAGCAGCAGCCTCTCGCCCCTCTCTCTACTACGCAGTATCTGAAAGCACGACGGGGGTTAACGCATATGTACTTAGTACAGCAATGAAGGGATAGACGGCGCATCTTTTTGAATGCAGCTGAGGCACAACAAATGACATCCGGCCTCCAGCTATGACTTTGCAATGGCAGAAAGAGGTGCAAAGCAAGCTAACAAGCTAGGCCACGAACACCTGCAATCTCAATGCCATCTCATGCCACGTGCTGCAAAAGAAACACATCTGCCGAAAAACGTCTCAGAACTTGTGATTTCAATGAGCCACTGAATGCGACTTGCTTGCCGCATGATTTCGAGGCCCTGGTCTTGCATCACGAAATTCTGAGACAGGGTGCAACAGCAACCTCCCTCCGCGACTACTTACTTTACATTACTGGTCTGCAATGTGCCAAGCGTCTGGATTCCATCCTCAAGCAGGTCGTCAAGCAGTGCCAGCCTCAATCAAGTCCATGCCACCCGGGTTTAGCCCTTCAGTAATCCCACCCCCGCCCCTAAGATTGGACGATGTGAAGGAACACTCAGAACTTGTTTGCTGATATTCGGGCCGCCTGTTTTTATATCATTATATATCTCGATTGTCACTGTTGGGGGATCTTGCTTTTGCTCTTGCTCCTGCTCTGGCTGAAGTCTCTTCACAGTTCCTGACTGACATGCACATACCTGAACATCAGCACATCGGTCTCTGCCCGTCCGGTATCTCCGCTAAATGCTTCTCGGAATTGAGGGTCTTGCACACTCCATGTAATACAGCGTGCTCACAACCCTACACCTGACCTAAACCTATACATCCCGACCACGAAACATGGGGGTTTCCGAAAATAGGGGACCCTAATATAGTACCCTAAATAGTAGGATCCTGATTATTATAAGGACCCCAAATAAGGTACCCCTTATTTTCGGAAAGTCCCACATAAGAGTTGAGCTGGAAATCCAAAGCTCTGCACACAACAATCCCCCGAAGTCCTTGCAGAAGCTATTGCGACCCCCTGCACAATAAACCACACCCTGAAGCCTACAGTAAATGCTTGGTGAATCCTGTCGGGACAAAAAAACGGTGAACCTAGACCTTGTAGCCGAAGCTCCAAACCACGTCCATGTAAAGGTAATACTCAACAACTCTGCATCCAAGACTCCCAGAAACCCTAAGACCCTGAAACGGGAGGCCTTCAACTCTAAACCGCGAAACCGGACCTCATCCCTGATCCGGGCCCCCACCCCAAGGACAGAAACCTGTGAAGCTTGGGTGACCCGACGCTCTCAACCACTGGCTCGCCCGCTCGCAGGCAGAGGCCGTAGCCTTCAGTGAGCTCTCTGACTTCAGCATATAGCTCCAATCACCCATAGTACTGCTCTGCAGTTGGGAGTTTTGTCATATCAGAGCTCTAGAGCTCTCTGCTTGATGTATTGCGCCCTTGGGTTGTGGGTTCTAGAGTTCTTCAGGGCCTAAACCCTAAACCCTAAACCGAGAGGAGGGGTTTAGGGCTATCTTCCGGGGGTCGGCCTTCAGCTTGGATTCGGGACCCAGGGGGCTGAGGGATTCCATGATGACACCTTCGGTCTCCTTCAAGCCAAGGGGGGTGGGATTGGGCTTTTTTCTGTATATTTCGCATGCAAAATACAGTGCGCAAGATATAAGCCAGACAGGCTTATTCAATAACGGATCATATTATTACGCGGCGACAGGCTATTCGCAGCTTACCTTAAATATTTTGGCCCGCGCATGGCAAAGTCCGCAGCTTACCTTGTAGTCGGTTCGCTGCATCTGTCTGCGCGGAGTGAGAAACAGTAACACACTGTTTTGAAGTACCTTGAAGGATTCCATATTATAATCAGTTTCAGAAACCAATGCAGCACAAGTGCAGCAGCAAGTCTCTCGCAAAAGCTCTGGGATGCAACCGTGGGAACTGCCTCACAAAGCCCTCGACAGCCCGAAAGTTGAAATCGCAGAAACGCTCACAACCAACCAACGCAGGATCCAGAATGCGAAGTCGTTCAGAGCAAAACAACCCGAAACCACCTCCGAGTCTACGTTAGGGTATTCCGTTCTGGAGCGCAGCGCTACAGAAGCCCAACTAACACTGTGCTGCCCAGCATTGAAGCTGATCACATCCGCTACCACGCCGGTAGCGGCCTGCGAAGTTCGATTAACGGTTTAGGGCTTAGGGGAATAATTGTCGAAGCTTACAGAGGCCGAGCATGGAAGTGCTGAGGAAAATATCCGCACGACTCGCACGATGAGTCTCCAAATTCTTCCAGACTCTCTCTGTATATAATTATATATATATATATGCATACATGAGCAGAAATGTGTGTATATATATATACACACATAGACATATATGGACATATCGACATTTACGTGTACATAATTTATAGACAGAGTTCTATTCTTGACAGCTTCGCCATGATTGGCATCGATTCGATACGGGCTACCAGCGCTACCAACACTCGAAAGCGGGAGACGCACTTCATGTTTATATACATACCTATAAGGACCTAATGAGTGACCTAATGTCCTGGTTGCAAAGCATCCGGGAACAGAATGCCATGGCAACGACCGTGTAAAACGCGGTGCGCGTCAGGGTCTTGAGAGGGGGTCCACATTGTTTCTAGGCCACTCCAGAAGGAACACGAGGCAACACATTCTTCGGATATTTATATGCAGCATGTAGAACCCTTTCAAAAGTCCTTTTCAGGACGTTACAGCACAGAACACGAAAAAAGCCATACAGAAGCCGTTTAGAAGTCTCAGGAGGCTTGATGCGCGGAGCTGGGCCGCCCGCATCCCGAAGCCGCTGCAAGAACCTGCCCACGGCCGTGTCTGTTTGGTCGGTGATGGTGACAGGTACCGATAGTCTCCATTGTAGTTCCCTTTTTTGGTTTAACCAAATATATATATATATATAAGAGTTTATAAGGTATCCTCCAAAAGGAACTACAATGGAGACTATAGGTACAGCACGCAGTGTCTTTGCAGGACTGGCGTCTGAGTCTCTGGGAAACGCATGGAAAAAGCTGAACGAACCCCAAGCCCACGAGAATCTTAATGAAGCTATACACCCTGAAGCAGCACAATCCTGAACGTAAACCCTACATTCAAGCATAAAGCAATGAAGAATCCAAAGCTCGAAACACCACAAACCATAACCCTCAACCGCACACCTGAAAAATCGCCGCCGCAAACCCAAACCCTCGAAGCCCTCAAGACCCGAAAAAGCTCTGCATGTTCCTGGGCGGCCGAGGTCGGCACATCAGGGAGAGGTCCCAGCGCAAGCCGTTGCCACAAGCCTTGGTGCTCTACGTCTCAATTTTCAGAGGTTCAGTTGTTCTTTGGGGTTGTAGCTTCAAGGTATGGCTGTAGGATTTACATGCACCCCTTTGTTGCATGTCAGGGTCTATCAGGGTTTGGGGCTCTTGTTTTCTGAAGTTCGCAGGGTCAATGGAGTTTGGCGATATAGCCATACTTGGGGGTTCATGTGTAGTTATAAATGGGGTTGTATGTAGGGTAACTGTACTTCTAACCCATCTTAGGGAACTTTAAAGCCCACTTATAACATCCCCTAAACCCTAAGCCCTATAGAACCCTTTAAAAGGAACCGTATAACCCCCACTTATAACTACCCCTAAACCCTAAACCCTATAGAGCCCTTTAAAAGGAACCGTATACCCTTATCTTATAATTACCCCTAAACCCTAAACCCTATAGAACCCTTTAAAAGGAGCCGTAACTAACCCCACTTAGAACTGCCCCAAGCCCTAAACCCTATAGAACCCCTTTAGAAGGAACCGCTATAAACCCACTTATAACTACCCCTAAACCCTAAGCCCTATAGAAACCTTTAAAGGGAACCGTAACTAACCCCACTTATAACTACCCCTAAACCCTAAACCCCATAGAACCCTTTAAAAGGAACCGTTATAAACCCCACTTAGAACTACCCCTAAACCCTAAACCCCATAGAACCCTTTAAAAGGAACCGTAACTAACCCCACTTAGAACTGCCCCTAAACCCTAAACCCTATAGAACCCTTTAAAAGGAGCCGTAACTAACCCCACTTATAACTACCCCTAAACCCTAAACCCTATAGAACCCTTTAGAAGGAACCGTAACTAACCCCACTTACAACTACCCATGGAACCTCCGCAAGTAAGGGGAGATGGCCCTCCGGACTCCAGAGGCTGACGGTGTCTTGAAAGTTGAGCTTTGGCATTCCGAAGGTCCAGGGTTTGGAGATCTAAGGGTTTAGGGTTTAGGGGTTTGGGTTGGGGTTTAGGGTTTGGGGTTTAGGGTTTTTTCGGGTTTATGGAGATCTAGGGGAATCGACGGCTGTAAAATATAGAAGCCTAGACAAGTACTAATGTTACGGTTAGGGTTCCTTATTATCATTATACTATACAGGAGCCCAAAACCCTATTCTAACTATTAAGGCCCCTATATTACCGTGTTGGGGCTTTTGGGCGTATTTTGCGAGTTTAGAGCTTCAGTTCTCAAGGGTATAACCGCACGATCTGGTGTTGCGGCCTGTGGGCCGGAGACATTCCTCACCCCCACAAGCCTACAGTACTACCATAAGCCGTGCAGCCTTCGAGGCTCATGCAACTTTAAGATCAGATTCTTGAAGCTCTCCGCGGACCACTCATGGAACATCAACTCGAATGAAGAGCAATAGTAGTCACAGTGAACGCAGTGGTTCTCTCAAGCAGGTCCCTTGCCTCCCTGCCTCCAACAGCCTCCGCTCGTTTACCACTCAAGCCCCAAACCACGGCAGGCTGAAACCATAAGCAACCCAGAGCTGACAAGCCGAATGAAATCCAAAATAAGAAGGCCCGAGAGATCCGGACCGTGATGATGGCATTGTAGCTGATAGCGTCAGGTTTTGGAGGCTTCACCTGTCGACGTTCGGGTGCGTTCTGGGGCTGGAGTCAAGGCTTCATGCGTGTCTTCGAAGGTTTCTAGTGGAGGCCTAAGGCCTCAGAAAAGTACCACCATAGATTAGGTTTCAGGCTTCAGACACACTCCTGCAACCACAAGGGGGCAACATGTCGTGCGTGCGCGACCTGTGCTTGTGGGTTTGAGCCACTTTCGGCATATCTCAGCACATCCAGGCGAGGGCCTTTCGTCTGCGATTCGGGCTGGTACTGGCGAGCCCAGGGTTTAGGGCGGAAGACTGAACTCGGACATGCTGTTCCCTAAGGGTCCATGTACCCAAATAGTATATACTGCTTTGGTCTTAATGCAGTCCCTATATGGGTACTTTAGGGCCAATGTTCTACTATTTAGATACATGGACCCTTAGGGATTATTCGCCCCAGACCCGACTTTCACGAGCGTTTCAGATTGGGCATCGCAAGGGCTAATGGCATCTATAGATCATGCAGCCCAGGCTGTGTGGATTCAAGGTTGGCGTAGAAGGATTTGCTCTTGACATGAGTCGGAGGCAAGCAGGACTGGCCTGCAACTTTGCTTGACTTGTGCACAATAGAGCACGGCAGACCAAATGTCGAACAACTTCTAGGCACTGGTCTGCCGGACCCGAACAAAACACACTGAAACAGTGTGGATAATGATCCGGAAAATCTGATCTGCAACCAATCGCTTGCGCAGGTCCAGCATGGTCCAGCCATCAGGAAATCCACAACCAAGACCAAGGAACCAAAATCCTTCCGGCAAGCTTTGATCTGCCAGCAGCCAGCACCACCTCACCCTCGAGCCATAATATGAAAACCCCTTAGGGTATGACCGTTTTTATGTATAAATGAATGATTCGAAAAGACCACATGCACGAAAAAGCTGGCGTGGAACCTAGGACCATGACGGTTACCTCCATAAACGTACGTATATTCGCAAGCAGACACACAGATACTGTAAGGACTTTCAATTTACGCCGTGTCTAAACGATAATGCGCCGCGACTGACATGTACCTGCATGCATATATACGGTTTGCGGACTTGTATGCATCAATTCCTGCATCCCGCGCACGAACCTACATGTGCGTCAGGCAAATGCAGGTTCTCATGATGATAAGTTATTAAACTATAAGCTGCCTTTGAGTCAGTCTGGGAATTTTAGGGGAAGCAGAACCCCGAATCCACCTTGAGCCGGCCGGAGCTATCGGCGCCCTCTTCCAACTCCTTTCAACTCCGAGCTTTTCGCGGTTGAAGGTTAGGCTCCTGTTTTCCCCTAACCCCCCAGGTACCTACTATATAGGGCCCTAGGGGCTCTAGTACCCTATATAGTAGGTACCTGGGGGGTTAGGGTTCCATGGAGCTACATCTCGTGTTGATTGTCCGGCATTTAGTATACAGGTCGTTTTGCCTCCTGCTTTGCCAAGACGAGCCCGCATTACAGGGGCTTCACAAGTCTGACATTCCTTCTGGAGCTTTGGGTTTGAGAGCTTGTCACATGAATATTTTCGGGACGCCGCTGTCAGTGTCCTCATAACCGCAACCATAAACGCACGACTTCAAGCCAAGACCAGCAAACTGAACCAACTTGATGCTGAACCCAAGCCGTCTTCAGAAGCCCTAGCCTGAGCTCTGTGATTGTTCATGGGCATTCGGGAGAGACATGAAACAAAATCAGGTATACGACAACTCGACCAAGAGTTTGCCATGAATTCTTGAAATCGGCATGCTGCCATCAGCCATCTGATTGATGGGCACTTGGCAGAACCTTTCACGCCCCAGTGCGTGGACAAAGATTGACCTCGTGGCTCTCTTGAACCACAACTTCATTGTCGGAGGCACTGCGAGACCAAACGAACTCATTGACTCAACCGACTTGACCAACCGATCACTTGTGCCCTCCCGTACCAGGAGAAGGCTGCCCTTTTGTCTATGCCGCATGCCCTTGGTTTTGAACCAAGCAGTCAAATCACAACCACACCGAACGAAAACGCCAGGCAGAAACCGCCATGAACGAAAGACATGCTTAAAGGATCATGGGACTTAGTAAGTAGGGTTATAATTAGGGTGACTATACTTATAATCCCAATTAAGGGACTTATAACCTTACTTACTAAGTCCCATGATCCTCCAAGTGCAAGACGCCGGTCCTTTAAGACCTCCAGAGCTTCACCCCACTTGGCTCCTTGGGATTCTGTAGCAACATACCTATAGTCTCTATTGTAGTTCTTTTTTGGGGATACCTTATAAAACCGTTAATATATATTTGGTTAAACCAAAAAAAGGAACTACAATGTAGACTATAGGTAGGGGCCGAAAGTACAGCATAAATGTATGGAAATGGGAGGGATCTGCCATTTTTCCCATTGTTCTAACCTGTAGCAAACAACCTTCCAGCTTTCTGGCTTCCATCGCGGCTGAGTCTGGTATCATCGAAAGGGCCAGAATCTGGAACAGCCCACCTCCCCCAAGCCTGAACTGCTCAAACCTGGAAATTTTGGAGGGAATAATACTTCACAGCAATCAGAATCATCACAAAAATATCCGTCTCGTGATGGCAACAATGTAACACACGACAACTACAACTAGAGCAATCAGTACCATGTCAACTATTCGCGACTCCGCCCGAGGTGTCTGAATGCTGACCACTCAGCCAATCCGAATAAGATGCTTTCTTGCTGTCGCCAAGACCTGGAACCTGCCCTCCTACCGCACAGAAACGTCGTCCGTCCTTTCTCGCTGGCACTCAACGTGGCCTGGACGGGAGGTGACCAACGGCATTGCAAACCCTTTGAAGCCTGTTCCTTCGGAGGAGCATGTTGCAAGCCCGCAGCAACGAAATATGTAGCTTAAGCAATTGTATTTATAATAGGAAGTTTGGGCCTCGTGATCGTTGCTGCAAGATTGGCATCGACTTAGTTTTTGTTGCAAACAGTTCCCCCCTAAACCCGAAACCCCTCTCACCTCGACACAAAACCCAAAGGCTCCAAGTACCATCATAGTAGGTACTTAGTAGGTATTTGGTATTTGGGCCCCAAAAGTATATACTATACTAGTACTTGGACCCTTTGGGAAACAACGGAGGCAGACATCTACTTCTGCACAAAGATTCCGCCCGGCAGCCCTGGTGCTGGACGGCCCTAATTAGCAATCTTATGGTAGGGGCCTTAGTAATTAGGAGAGGGTTCTGGTGTTTGTTTATTACAATTTAATAAAATAGTACACTCCCAAACCCTATTCCAATTATCAAGGCCCCTTTTTTAGTGTATAACTCCTTCAAGTTTACAGCGTGCGTGCGCTGAACACACTGCCGACAGTTGGGGCTCAGGCGTTGTAGGCCCTGAGGTCGGGTGGCAAGCCCTCCTCCGCAAAGGCAAACCAGAAAGGGTTTAGGGTTTAGGGTTTAGGGTTTTTTCCCCTCTCGCATGAATGAGGACTATACTCACGGCGAGGTTCTGTAGGAGGACAGAAAGAACAATTGACAAGGACACGAAGGCATGGGTTTAGGGTCTAGGGCTTAGGGCTGCAAATCTGCGACTGCTGAGTCTCGCTGCTATCCCAAGCTGACTGCTTTTTGGATCTTCATAGCCACACCACGATTACCGTGCCTATGCTGCTCAGGCAACCAGGGGTCCGAAGGGACCAGCCATGTAGATGACCCAGCTTTGGGGGGGCTTCTGGGCTTTCGGGTCTTCCGCCTCCGTCTTCAGCCCATCGAAGAGGCGAAGAGCATCCTGTGAGGTTCAGGGGATCCGAGTCCGAACTCCATGGTGCACTCGCCCGGTCTCAGTCGAGAAATGTTGAACATTCTCACATGATCTGTTGGGGCTCGGCCTCAAATGGCTCAGTCATTCGCTGCAGAAATCTGCTACCACTATCAGATTATCAACTCTCCTGAACCAGCAACCCGCAGCCTCAACCCTAAAGCGGGGGAACCCTGGGCACCTGAGCGAACACGCAGCCTCAACGTGCCTCAATCCTTTTGCAGCGGGCTTGCCTCGTCGCCCGGGGGCTCCCTCTGCCAAGAACCCTAAACCCTAAACCCTTTTACACAGGCTTACCCTAAACCCTAAACCCCACATCCTAAACCTAAACGCAAAGAAACCCTAAACACTGAATGCCAAAGCACCCTCCCAGCCAAGCAAAGGGCCATGCCGCCTGCCACAGTCCGCCTTGCTCACATGCCCGGATGGCCTGTACATATTAAACTCGCCTAATCGAATCCCGGGCTTGGGATTTAGGCTTAAGTGTTTAGGATTTGGAGGTTTAAAGGGCCCATAGCTCCCTAAACTTGCGCTTCTGCTTTTGCAGCACAGGTCATAATGGATAAAGTAATCGGAAACCAGCATCGACAGTCCCTGCTTGCAGTGCCGCATCAGTTTTATACTTTTCGAGCGAAGAGACAAAGGCTTTTGTTCGCCAGCCCCCATAGGATGTTGAGGGACTGTTGCTGGTAGTGTCCCATGTGGGAGCTAGGATCAGGGGGACCCTTGGAGATATAGACCCTCTCAATAAGGTCCCTTTTAAGAGAGCCAAAAGTAGGGTTCAGAAGGGGTACCGTTTAAGGGGTACCCCTAATAATACTACCGACCATGCTTGTCCTACTAACGAGCTACCGCCTCACATATTCACCGCGAGGTAGCAGTCGTTGTCAAGATCATGTCTTCCCATCCAGTACCACCAATAAGTGATGATCGGTCCCTCTAAGCATTGCAGATGTGGGCGTGTGTGGCCCCGGCCGAAGTGACGGCCGGGACGCTGGGCTGCAGCTTTGCTGCCTCCATCCTGTCAAACAATCCGCAGCAGCTGTAACAGCAACAGGTGGAATGCAACTTATACGTAGTAACAATGAGAACATATTAACGGCAAGAACACTAAGAATGCTTATCTCAAGGCTCTGGGTGGGCTTGAGGTCGGTCATCGAAGCCTACAAAAACTCAACCGGAAGGCACTATAGTGGCACGGCCCCTGTACACTTTGCTGAGCGCCGAGCTCTTGCAGGAATCTCAAAGCCTGGCAGCCCGCATGAAGGCGGTGTTTCGGAACGCTTTATGCTGCAAAGGTAGCTAGATGGTATGTGAAAACCTCAACCCATGCACTCTGGGTTGAGGCATCCACATCTCCAACCAACCGGGTGCCTTCGTCGCCTCACTGCCCTTGCCGCAGGCCTAGGTGCATCTACAGCCGCAGTTTCACAAGGTTCCGGCGTCTCAACAAAGTCTTCGGGCAGATTTGAAGCTGTCCTTTCCGCGGAATAGCTTCCAGACGTGACCCGGGCATGCAATTACGTTAAACTCATCATCCCATTCTCCCAGCTGCCGGCCCCAGACACTAAACATACAGCACAAGTGTGATGACGTGTCATGGTAGTAACACTGGCTTCTGCTTCGCTCATTGAGTGATAAGTGCCCCGAGCTCTAGACCTTAAAGGCCTGTAGGCGACTTACACTTTTGAGCTCCTGCAGAGCTTCCCCGGCAGGCATGGGTTCCGCGCAGCAATAAGAGAGCCGTAGGTGATCACGGTTGGCCTCTCAAGATATTTCTTTGCACTGTGCGGGGCGGTGAGGTGTCGAATCCGCGAGATGTGCGTGCTTTCCGGGGAGATCGTTTTCTCCAAAGTGATCTCTCAGCCTTGAGAGCCCCCACTCGGCTTCGCTCCCGACTGGAACAGTCAAGGTGGTGTCCACCGGACGCAAGGGGCCTCGGGACTCTGACCTAGAGGCGCTGGCTCCACACTTTTGGCAGTTAGGAGGCAATACAACTCCGGGTCCGATATCGTGATATCGCTGAAGGGGCTCACGCAGCAGCACCATCCAGCGCCGCGAGCGCTGTTCGAAAACCTATGATGAACCCAATGCCCTGCTAAGGCGAAGCAGAGGCATTTTTTGATCCTACAAATGCTGAAGAAGGACGCACTGGATGTCGGGTGCCTGAGAGCATCCTCATGGAGCTGATGTAGCGCCGCCACGGCATCGGCCCAGCGGTTGGCCTTTTGAAGAAGGTAGCGGCTTTGAGCGTGCCCGACAACACTGCAGCTTTAGAACCGGGCTTTGGGGTCTATAAGTCTATAAGGCTATGAATAGTCGTATATATTCGTATATAGTATGAAGATATTTTTTAAACTTGCTATTATAAGGAATCAGTAAGGAATGGGATCTGCGTCGACCACGGGAACGATGGGCTCCCACGAGTTCTTTTATAAGTTTGGGCCATCGCCCTGCTCCACCAGAGAGCTATGAACCGATAAGCAGAACTTCCCAGGTTCCCGAGGCCCGCGCCTGTGTGCAAAGGCTGATGAAGGTGTTGTAGGTGACGGTGTTTGGGTGCACCTGGGGGAAGGGGAAGCCTTCGAGAAAAAGGTGTGAACCTGGAGAGGGAGGTTTAATCCTATGCCTGGACTCCATCTGCACTTCAAGCTGCCGGCCTCGAACCAGAATTCACAGTAGACAAACATGCCAGAAGATCCGATTATCCCTTCACAATCAGAACCTCTAGGCGTCGGTCGGTCATGTATGGTGCAGCATCCGAGATCCTCGGGGTGGAGCCTGGGAGACTAGACAGGTGCAGAGATGCTGAGGCACAGGCGGCCACATCCCTCCTCGGCTTGAAGGACATCGTCACTGCTAGGAACCATAGACTTTATATCTACGGTTTAGGGTTTTGGGTTGACGGTTTTGGGTTTTGGTTGTGCCAACCTGGAATGCAGCACGCCGCCCCGGAATCTGCCCAAACAAGGTACACTTCGGGTCCCGATACCTCCTTCAATCTGGTTCCAGACAATCAAGGCAGACCAGGTGTCATCTGTTGTAGCAGTCCGAACCCCGCTGGCCAAAGATCGCCTGGCAAAAGGCTTCTTGCCTCCCCATGGTAAAGGGGGCTAAAGGTTCGGGAGGTATACTTGGGATGGGCCAGTGACCGGCTGGTGGAGTGCTGGCAGCTTAAGCACCACATGAACAGAGGTTACGGAGCCACATACAGAGGTCTTGCTTCAGAGGATTGGACAAGGGCTTCAGACAGTGCTCTGCAAGATGAAGCAACCGCATCCGTTTGAAGTACACCATGGTGGAGGGCTCCCGTATTGCATAGACGGAGTAGTGTTGCGAGCCGATGTTGTTGTGTTGTTCAATGTCAAGCTCCGAGGCCGGCATGCGCAGCATGAGCTAACAATGTACAGGGCCGGCAGCGGCATTGGACTCATGAGAATAAAGAGGAGAAGACTTCGCAGTGACGGTACTTTCCTCCAAAATGGACGCAGCAACTAATCATGTCCCAAACCCCACAACCTGACCTTGCAGTTAGCTCTACATCTCCAAGCTTATGTCCCCTAAGGGCCCTAGTTACCCTGGCTAGTCTGGCCAGGGCACCTTGCTCGCAGGCTTTCAGAGCCAGCGCGTAGGAGGCCACATTGGGACCTGAGTACTTGGAGGATCATGGGACTTAGTAAATAAGGTTATAAGTCCCTTAATTGGGGTTATAAGTATAGTTACCCTAATTATAACCCCACTTACTAAGTCCCATGATCCTTTAAGTAGCTGGCCGAATGACGAAGGGAAGGGCGGGCGTGGGGGCCCGGAAGAGTGGAGGAGTCGAGGGCCTGGGGGGCCGGGACAGTGGAGGGCATGGTCTACGCGAAACCCCCGAATTCAGAAGCTGTGCTTGCCAGTCAGTAGAACATGCCTTTTATATGTTTTGTTCTGCGACTTGGTAGTTAAGATATGAGACGTTGCGATGCGCGTGACCTGGCTCGAGTGGTGCCAAAAATGTGAAGGATTGACGGCTCAAAGCTGTCCGGATACATAGGGGATGGAGGCCAAGCAGCTGCAAGAGCCTCCTTCAATGAGTCTCTTCTTCGTAGTTGGTTTCCACTTTATGCCAAAGTTTTGGGCCAGGAACAAATCGAATACATAGAGAGGGAATCAGTGCATGCTTCAAAAGGGCAATGCAAGACCTGCCCGAGGCCGAATCGGCATGTATGCAGATGCGAAGTTATTGTAGCCTGCAGCAAAATTTGCTGAACATGCTCGGACCCGTCTGCACGGGCATAAAACACGACAACCAGCTAGTCAGGAATAGCCGTGAGAGTCTGTTTGTCGGTGTGCGCCTGTGAGGCACAGAAGTCATAAGCAAGCGGAACGTGCGAGGCAGTCAGGGTCTTATTCTGCTTCCATCATCCGGCTCATGGCCTTGAGTCTTTGCGACTGGATCTTTGCCCAGGTCATCTCTAAGTCGGCGAGCAAACGGCGCCACATCTTCGGGCATACCATTGACTCAAAGTCCTCCTACCCTGCCGTTACATGTGGGCCCCTCAAGGCGCCAGAGCCAACCAGTTTGACAGCTTAAATTCTGCAACGGTGCTAGTGCGACTATCGACGTGATCTCACTAATTAAGACAAGCTAAAGACCTTTGAATCACCAAGTTGTTCAGCCATCCTCCGTTCATTTGCTCGAAGTTGTTTCTCTTTTTTGCAAACCGTGGCAGAATTGACGCTTTCTCAAACACTGCTTCCATTTTCGTCTGGGTAGAACCTGGACCTGCCACCTACTCCAGAAACAGTGACGCCGAAAGACATAACGAATAGAAGGTCATTGAAAATCGTGGTTGTAAGCATGTTTAAGCTATTTGCCTCTGGTGCCTCAAGGTCAGGAGGTAGGGCCGGATAGCTCTCAGAGTTCCTCCTCCGCATCGTCGGCTTCGTCTTCATCTTTCTCTGGGAATTCCTGGGAAGCATGGCGCACACACAAACAGATGCAGGCAACAAGTTGGAAGAGCAATACACACCCACGGCGGAAGGCTCCCACATATTCGGGCACAAGGTGCCCGCTCTTTCTAGACTTGATCTCAATACGTGCAACTCGCGCACAAGACATCATTGACCATGCCTCTTCTTATCCTCTTGAGGCCAGGAGGCATCCTCTGGACAAAGGCCCGTGGCACGGAAGCAAACCCATCCTTGCTTTGTGCCGAGGCCGGCTGCTCCCACAAAGCCGAGATCGACAGATGTACGTGTACATGTGAGCACATGCAGTATAGCACAGAAGAAACAAAAAGCCTCACCGGATAACACCCAAGCACTGACCCGAGTAACTATGCCGAAAAAACCGGCTGTAAAAGAGCCAGACTGTTTATTGCCGTCGTTCATCTTATGCTCTTGCTAGGCCCTTTGCAGAGTTGGCTCGATCTGTGAAGGCCGTACTCACCCGAAATTCATCCACTTCTTCGGTAAACCTGACAGGGAATCGCGTAGGAACCCAAACGTATTCTTCGACACGGCATGGGCAAAGGCCCGCGAGTGCAGCAAACATCACGCCGCAGGTCTGCGATTCTTTAAGACCGGCAACATGAGACGACATGCGCTGACTACTAAACATACCAGCCTGTAGCTGCGCGTCAAGACCTCTCCTCGGCTGGACAGACTAATTACAACCGCGATCTGTTCGGATGCGTCAGAACTATGTCAAGTCAAAAGTGACTGGGCAATTGTGAAGTGTACAACGGTAACATGCAGTCCAGTGCGCAGGCTCACACTATCAGGATACATTCTGACCACCCTTCCGGTCATGTAGCCTTGCAGCTGCGGGAGGATGGAGTCACAAGTTGAAACCAGGCTGTCGATGACGGACCTTGGATAGAGTGGGAAAATCGCCTGCAGAATTTGGACCAGCCATGAGCAAGCGCCACCACACCTACACATAAAGATAACACTATGCGGGGCAACAGCTTGGTATGACATGTTACATTGGGCAGCAATCTGGCATGTTAGTCTGGTTGGTGAAACCATTGACTACAGGTGCCGTGTTACGGCAAACGACATTGAAGGTGATGCCTGACGGTGCATTTTTCTCGGCAACCTGAATCAAGTCCTACGCCGTCTGGGCTCTGTGCCACACAACTCTCGCATGATTCGAAGTCTTAGTCTTAGCCACCAGTCCGAGTGCGCCGAAGCTTCTATCACATCGCAGCAGAGTCCATAACGGGAAAGTTTGCAAAAGCCGTCTGGCCGGAACAGCTCGAGACGAGCTTGATCTATCGAGTCTGATCAGAATAGCTGGTAGGGTGCACTGCTTGCTTCACCGATTGTCTCCGAGGTTCTCCAGCCTAAATAAGTTTTGAGCCGGATGTAGAACTGGGCACTAAAACTCTGCTGCATTTTCATTTCGTTAATGGTAAGTTCATGAGCAGCACAATGCGGCGACCGTGTTCATAAAGCATATGCACAGCAGTACCCCCCCCCCCTTCCGCAAAACAACCACTCTAAACTCCCCATAAATATTGCGAACCCTTCACCGGCATAGTCGCTCAAGCTCAATATGGAAACCTGTGGAGACGTCGGGCAAACACTGCGACAGAGATCCCAATTTGCTTGGGCCCTCTGCGCATTGCCTCTAGATCCTAATGCTCCCGTGGTGTGGGTAGTCCCTAAGGTCCTAAGGAGATGACCAAGCACCCTCCGTCTTTTGAAGGAGAGGCATTGTCTCTCAAGTCCTGGTCACCACATGAGGCTCGTTCTGGTCTGGAGGCCGGCAGTAGGGTTTTAGGGCTTCGACACTCTTTGCCTCAAAACAACGGGGTATCATTCTCCGACTCGACCCCCTCCGAAGCAGTCGTTCGGGGAGGCCTCATGCCTGTCCATGTGCATCCTACTGGGCACCCTGGCCCTGACTTCGGCAACACTACCCCGGTCATACCGCATGTTCATGCCTGCAATGTCTTCAAATCCTAGTCGGCCGTTGATTGCTGAGCACCACCTAGTGTGCGAAGTGCTCCGCACAATTTCGCGAGCCGTGCCGACTCCGAATCACGGGTCAAAGTAACGAGCTACTGGTAAAACAGGTCTACGGAGCTTCTGCCGCTTCACGTGATGCGCAAGTTGGAACGTTCTAACTCAAGAAGGTATCTACCGGAAACAGCTGCCCGGCGTGCAAGCACACGAGAATGTGAACCCCTATATTCAAATTCCAATGTGAACTATCTGCGAGCCTGCGAGATGGCGGCACTGGACAAACGAGGCTAAACTTCGACATGCAACTCCCCTCGGATGAGTTGCAAACCTAAAACACCTTGCACGAGCAAGATGTTGGAAAAACACTCAGCCTCCGCTTAGCGCTGCTGAGGAATCGGAGCTCACTTCAGCATCGAGAGCTCGCCGTGACGCGATGCCATGAGCCTGTCGAAAACTGTGCTGGCAACATATCGTCGGCTCTTTTGCCTAGAGTTCCAGAAATGTAGTATATAGGTCCATAGAAGAATGAGAAAGGCTGCAAGCACGTGCCCGCATCCCGGAACTGCTGGAATGGACCATCGCCAATGCATGCTTCTCTACTATCGCAAAGCCAGGAATGGCCTAGCAGCCTAGCAAGTCCCGCGCGCAATGCCGAGCGGAACAGCATAGTGTGGCGACCACTGACGTATATACACAGACCAGAACCGAACCATGACATTGCATTACAGCGCGGAGTAACCATGCAACCTGCCAGCAAGACGAGACGGATCTTCGAAATCAAACGAAGTCGAGAGGTTACGTGTTTGTGTACTTAGAAAAAAACATGTGTATGCAAACACACGTAAAACAAAGGCATGTGAGGGTGCGCGGCTGACTCTTACATGTCGCAAACACCAGCGAGCCCAAGCATCCAATGCTGCTGCCTCAGAGCCTAAATCCTGCACATCCCTAAACCCAGTCCGAACCGACACCGGCCCTAATAGCTTCAGATGCTAACCTGATGAAACCCACCGGCCTCGAACCCACGGAAGGAACTACAAGCACCTCATGCAAGCAGTGATGCGTGCTTGAAAACCCTACCGCAAAACACAAAACCGTCTGATGACTCGACCTGCTGTGGCTGGCGGCCTAGAAGCCCTTTTTGTCACAGACAGCATGAACTCACATGTCGTAGACAAGGCGCGAGATCTTGCTCCTGAACTTTATCCAATCCATTTTCGGCGAGGCTGCGGAGGATGCAGAAGACCTCGATGAGTCGATGCCAGGCACCTAGAGAACCCAATACCCCTCGATTAAGGAATATACCTTAAATCATAATATCAGGGCCCCTATAATTCAATGTATATTCCTTAGTTAAGGGGTATTGGGTTCTCTGGGCAGGCATACATGTAGATGCACCTGGACCTATGTAAGCATGGCGCAAATGTGGCTCGGTGCACGCAAGCGCCTGCGGAGACCAAAGGACCCTGCGCAGCAAACGAGCAAGCCGTGGCAACATGGAAAATGGCTTTACCCTAAACCCTAAACCCTGAACCCTTTGCTGCTGCCCCTTTGCCGAACACCAACTCGGTGTGCTCGAGGAGTCGAAGTGCTCTGAAATTCGAGGGCCGGACTGGTCGCAGGAGGAGCCACCGGTGCTGAAACGTCGGCCTGTACCAGGACCCCGCAAGAGCCCTTTAACAGAGCCCTCA